CAATACAAAATATATATTATAATATTAGTCCATAACTGCTCAGGGATCCCAGGACCCTGACAGGTTCAGTGTTTACTGTTCATTCAAACAGGTGAAAGGATAACCGATTGGCAGCAATCAGAGGAAAAAGAAGGGAGACTTAACACAGAGATATGACTGTCTGTGTTTGTGGTTTTGCCATGAAAACAAACATTTCATGTGTGCAGCAGAATCAACTTTTGGAGATTTACTTACCTGGATGGTTGAGCATGCATCAAGATGTTCTTTTTTTTGTAGTTTATATTGAAGCCTAATGTCTGGTTCAGGTCATTATTTGGTTTCTCACTGTTTAACTTTCCTGGCTGTAAAACAACCTCTGTATTTTCCCTCTAAAGAACAAAAGTACAATATGTTCTTTCATCAAAAGCTGAATGATATCTGGTTAGTGCATGTCTTTCGTAAAAGAAGTTCACATGTCATTTGGTGCACAGCCCCACCTTGTGGCAGTAGGAAAAGTACTTTTTAGGTACTTCGTGAACTATATGAACTGCAGTATATCCGGTATCTGTGATTAATGGTCCTTTTATTAGAAAAAAGACTGATTCAGGTACTAATGTGATATGTGGAATGCTAACTGACACTGATAAACCCATCAAGACTTTTAAATGTAATTAAATAAGCTTTAGTTGATAAAACTGCTGGTGGTGCTTTATTGTAGTTTTAATATGTTGATGTTGAAAAGAATCAGCTTGGTTGCAAGAGTTAAATAACTTTAACTGTGTTCAAATTAACTTCCATGTAGTCATTCATATTAACTATAGACTAGAGGACTTAATGAAAGCCTAAAAAGAAAAACCCCAAAAGCATTATATCCCAGATTTCAGGTCAGTACAAACAACAGCTCAGAGTAACAGTTCATAAACATTTTAAAGCCACAGTTTTAAATTCGCTTTCAGAACAATTTCTGAAAGCTGAGCCCACGTCCTCATTTTAGGTTTGACAGCTTTTAGTTGGTAAAGATGAACTGCTTGGACAAGAACTGAGCTGTCGCCTGATCATTGGGATTTAAATTTTAAATTTAAATTTAAATAAAATTGAATTTAATTGAAATATTTAGATATTTCCGAAAACACATTGTAGTGACGTATACTGAACACAATAAATGATATAATGTAAACAACTACCTGAGAAAAAGCAGATAAATTAATTACAGGCATTTACTTTTGTATCGATTATTGCATTGATGGAGGGAGTGATGTATGCTGGGTAATGGCACAGCTAGTGACTGGGTGACTTTATTCACTTTATTCATACCCGCTTTGGATGTTATCAGTCCATACAATGTGCGTTATTAGCACAAATCTGTCCCATAGATATGGGCCATCTCCACCTGCTAATTTGTTCAGAAGGTTGTTCTCATCCATCCAGATGGAGGATCACTAAAAGGAGCGTGGAAAGACTCCAGAATCCACTCTGGCTGGAATCCGGTGAATACAGCAGTGTTTACAGGTAAGACCATTTAAATGGACAGCATTTATAGAATGACTATTAAAAGTCAGTGAGTGTCAAAAATGTTAATGTGGTAACGTTTATGGTGTGAGCATTAGATTATATTGTAGTAAAGCTGTTACTTTTTAAACCACGTTAGGACAGAAATATTAGCTTCTGTTATGGACTAATGAAGTTACTAGTTAATAAAGTTTCCAGTAAAGTGATTTATCGCTGCCACAGATTGACAGTAAATATCCTAATTAGCTTCATTGCATCAATGCATCAGTTTCAGTGCTTCATTTAAACTGTATGACACTTATACTGACCCAGGGTCAGTGTAAAATACAATCCTAGCTGTGTGAACAAAGCCTGGCTCTTTTAATCCTGCATGACAAACCGCAGGATGCAGGTTTATTGAGCCTCTTTCCTGCTGGCACACCTGTCACACCTGAGAGTCAGCTACAAACTTACAGTAATGTGTACATCTTGCAAAGACTGCCAGACTCTGTAATACTGTAAATGATCAGTGACTCGGGTTAAAACTAAACCTTAAACAGTACCTCTGTGTCTGTGTGTGTGCTGAACATCTAGAATCAGGATGAGTCAGGCTGCACATTGCTGGCATTGCGTCTTTCAACAGGTTTGTGGGTAGATTTGGATGCACCAGGAGTAAGTGCAGCCACTCAGCCTCTACTCAATGTGATCATAGCAGCAGGTGCAGATGTGTGTCACAAGTTAATCTAGTAGTAGGCTATGGTTCTTGGCCACAGGTGGCAGCAGTGGACTCACCTCCATTGGAGACTGCTCCAGCTGCTATGTGATAGTCAGTAGATGGATTCCAAATTGAAGATCATATGAAAGTTTTGGAGACTGTTTATTACTAATCACTGTGTAACTCCTGTAAATTCACAGTAACTGCCATCTCCTTACAAATGTTTATTGGATTAACCACACTTATACAGACTGTATATAACTACCACCTCTAAAATGTTTGTTTGCAGAGAAAAGACACAGACAGACGATGCTTACAGGATGTGATGTGACAACACTAATGAAATATTGATGTGTCATTTTTGTTCAAGACGTTTTTCTTATGGGCCAAAATATTAAGATCATGATGAACAGGGGTGGTGATTCCTATGACTTTGTGTATGTAATTTGGAATTTTTTACAAATGTGGTCCAAAATAGATACATGATATCATTTCATTCATTTTAAAGGTTTATTTGCATGACGCACAAACAGACAAAATTGAAAGGTACAAATGTGTTGAGCATGAAACGAATTCAAACGTGGTGCAGATGTGTGTCACAAGTTGATCTGGCTGTAGGCTGTGGCACTTGGCCAGAGGTGGCGCTGGTTGATTCGAGTCCATGTTAGTGCACAAAGTAAACTGCTCGCTTTAGTTGTGGAGCAAAAACGCTGAAACCAGAGAAATAAAAACGTGCGAGGGGGACGATAACGACGAGTCTCCCGATCGTTTACTCTTGCTGTCCCGTGAACAACATCGGCGTGGTGTTAATTGTTTGCTGTTTTCGCGATCGCGTCGCGCATGAGGATATCACCAGGTAAACTCGCCACATTTTTAAACATTTTGTTGTTCAACAGCATCAAGACTGACGGAGTGTGTTTGAGATAACCTCACAAGTGTCACAGATGACACATTTGGCGTTTTTTTGCTGGTTTGTCGGTAGGAGCTCCTGAAACGCAAGACTGCCACACATCTGTTCGACCAACGCCAGTTGATCTAAACGCCAGTTGATCTGGAACACCGGCTGTAGCTTTTCAGCTCACAGCCCGACACATACCAACAACAGCATAGAGAGCACAGACGTTAAGGCGGCGAGGCGTGATTGCGGGTGCCGCTCAGGTGCGTCCTTTTCCCCTGGAGCGGCGCTGCAGACCACGCCCGCCACGCACATTAACCAGGTAAAATACACATTTAGGCAGAATTTTGCAAATATCTATTTTTAATTTTTTAGCAGCATAGTGCTTTTTTTCCCAATTATTTTGTAAAGTCAGGTCAAGGCTCCAAAAGCCCAAAGGCGATATAAGGGTGGCGGCTCCCAACAGTTTTTGTTTGCTACATGGATCATTTTAGTTCAGCTGGGTGTCTTTCCTTTTGTTATATTTCTTTAAGAGTTCAAAATGTGTTAATTACATAAATAAAATGTAATTTTCTCTGTGGCACTTCATGGATTTCATAAGCAACACACCTTAGTTGTTCACACAAAGCATAAAGGTAAAAAACAATATAAACAGTGTTATCTTCATTTTCAATCAATCAATAATTTTAGATGTCAAAAAGTATTTGCAAAAACATACTCAGGAGAAATGTATAAAATCAGCTTTATTCTATGATGTTATACACATTATTATAAAAATCCTTTTCTCATGACTGGAACATCAACTACCTGAGAGTAAAAGTGTAACTGCAACTAAGTTAGAAAACCAATTTTATGCCATTTATGTGGATATAAACATATTTCAACTATATTCATTTTAAAAGGTGTGCTGCACTGTCAGCCTATGAGCACAGACCTTTAGACAACCTATGTAGTGGTAGCAGCTTAAGTTGTCAAGTTTTGGAAAGAGGCCACTGAGTGGTGCTCCATCCCTGCAATGCGTGGGCTGACTTCATGGCTGCAAAGGTCACAAAGTCATGAGGGTTGTTTTAAAGCTGAGCCAGCTGCTTCAGCGCCTCCCCCTCGCAGCGCATGCAGTGGTAGCCTATGGTAGCAGTGGCATCGAAGCAGCCCTGGCCGAGGTAAAAGTCCATCGATGGTTTGTTCCAGTTCAGGATGGTGAAGTTGAGCTGGTGGCAACCAGCAGCCAGAGCCAGCTACAGGAGGGCAAAACCAAGAAGGAAGACAGGAATGACTGCTGAGCTGAGATCTGTATGCTACCTCTGAGACACTGTTCATCATTTTTTTGTGCAAATATTGAAAATAGGAAAATCCTCAAGGTTTATCTTCTACAGTGTTCACACGTTTTACTCACCTGTGCCACCTTGCTCATTAGTGCTTTACCAACACCCTTCCCTGAAAGACAGATCATGTGCATTACTTGAGATTTTGTGCAAATACAGATGCACAGCGATGATGTGACATCTTCTCAGAGGCTGTACTGTACCTCTGAACTCAGGCATCACGTACAAGTCCTCCATATAAATGGCTCTGCCTACAAATGAGCTGTAGGAATAGAAGTAAAGTGTATAGCCGACCTTCCTGTGTCCTGAAAGAAGAAAAATATCAGTAAGCTAGCTTACAGTTCACCGTTAACAGCTTCAGTATTCTTAAATCTTTATATTTGTTTTGTTGTTCCTTCCGATTGAGTTAATGTCGGTGAATATTCAGAACACTGATTATTAATAACATAATGTTTTATTGTAAACACATAACTATGTAACATTTCCTTTATATCAGTGAAAAAAATGATCGGATTTGTCGTGTTGCTCAAACTTAATGTGCAACAGCCTTTATAAATGTAACCTCACAAGAAGGTGACTGTTTACTATCTCTCGTATTGTCTTTCCCTGATGAGCGACAAAGACTTCATGTTCCCTCTAAAACTTAGAGGCACACTTAGTGTCAGTGCACTGAAAACCACAAATTCTATTTTACAGAGAACTGAATTTCTCAGTGGGACAAGATTTTTTACATGTTGATGTTTTATCCTAAACATACTTGCTCCGCAGCGTTTTAGATCAGTGCTGGCTAGGTAGTTTTAGGAGTTTGTTAAGATTTTAGACAGCATAGGTTCATTTTAAAGTTTCTTCTATTTAACAATTACCCATCAGTTTCGAGTTTGTGTAAGTGTTGGGTCTGTGTTTCCACATGCCCCGCTAGTTTAGAGACTTATTCCTCATGAAGAACACACGACATAACAGATCATCTTCAACCGGTCTTTATCTCGCTAACAAGGGAAAGGTTTGGTCAGAACCAGGCAGTGGAGCATAATGCTCATCACCTGTCTCTATCCTAAATCCTTCAAAGAGCAGCTTCTCCTGCGTTTGTGTGACCTCCTGCTCACCAAAAGGACCATAAAAGCAGGAAGCGTACAACACAAGAAACAGATCTTTCAGATAGGATGTATCTGCAATAAAACCTCCCCCAGCACAGAGTGGCTGGAGAGGTGGTCAGGATCAAAGGAATGGCTTTGATCCTACTGCTTGAACTAAGACTTCACAAATTTAAGAAACACAATGACACATTCAACAATTTGACTTAACAGTAAGTAACTGGGTTAGAGTTGTTCGATAGTAGCTTGAAACAGTGTGTGTGAAAACTGTGTAAGATGATCTTCCTCACCTTCTTTTGTTCTGTGCTGCTCTGGCACCTCAGCGATGATGCCATGAAAGAACGGGTTCTTGGAAAAGCCATCTTGCTCCAAGTCTGAAAAGAAATTACAGACAACTAAACATAATAGATCTAATTTTTTTTACTGACATTAAAGTTACACATTACAGAATATTTTCAAAACGGGGACATTTAATTTATATTTAACATTGAGAACCTTTTACAGTTGTAGCTCTGACGGGTACTACCAAAACTGGTGTTTTGGACAGAATAAAGAGGGCAAAGACACTTAGTGGTGGAATGAGGAAGTGTGAGAAAGTATGAAAAGAATTTCTGCTCTAATTCATCCCAAAGCTGTTCTGTTGGTTTAAGGTCAGGACTTCAGGACTTTGCAGGTCAGTCAAGTTCTTATGCTGGTGCCCAGTCAGTCACTTTGTTGTAATACCAAAAACAGCTGACAGTGGAATATGGGAATATGTTGAAATGTCATGACTGGACTTGTTGCACAGGTGGCATTCCATCACGGAACTATACTGCACTGAGCTCCTAAGAATGACCCGTTCTTTCACAAATGTTTGTAGAAGCAGTCTGGAAGTCTAGGTGCTTGATTTTATACACCCATGACCATGGAAGTGATTTGATCACCTGAACTGAATGATTTGGATGAGTGAACTAATATTCTTTGGCAATACAGTTGTTAGGTTTTGTATTGTTGATTGTCATTTATGCTTAGAAATATTTAACCATATATGCTTAGAGGTGTATAATCAATTGTGTAGTGATAGGACTGTGATCTTTAGCAGGCTGTAAAGGCTTGGTGTGTATTCCACACTAGAATGCACACCCACAGTCTAGGAACATCAGAGAGGTCCTAACTTCTCATTGTTGATATATGGTATAGCAAACACACATATATCTCTTTAAGTATAAGAGCCTTTTGTTTAGATAGATCTGCTAGACGCCTGGCACCAGCTTTGGGGAGTCTTCACAGGGTCACATCTTGACCTCACACAAATCACACCACACACACACACACACACACACACACACACGATATTCTTTGTTTGTATGTAGACGTCATATGTTAATGAACCTATGCATATTCATGTAACCTCAATAAAAGAACAGTGTTACGGGAGAACGAACGAGAGCAACTGGGGTCAAGCGAAGGAATGGCGTTTGTCCGGTTCTCTCCCGTGCACGAGAAACATGAAGAACTTTGCCTACTTGTGTCTTGCTTTGCTGTGTAATTATATTGCCTTCAACGTTCCAGCGAATAGGTTCAAGCTACAAACCTATCAACAGTGCACCTGTTGAGATATAGGAGACAGCAGTGGAGTTTTTAACCAGACTTCGGAGTCCTCCGCTTATCCGTTCCAGGGTCACGGGGGGCGCTGGAGCCTATCCCAGCTGTCATAGGGTGAGAGGCGGGGTACACCCTGGACAGGTCGCCAGTCTGTCGCAGGGCTAACACATAGAGACACAGACAACCATTCACACTCACATTCACTCACAGATTCACAATTTAGATTGACCAATTAACCTATCCCCACTAACTGCATATTTTTTGACTGTGGGAGGAAGCCGGCGTACCCGGGGAGAACCCACACAAACACAGGGAGAACATGCAAACTCCACACAGAAAGACCCCGGCCTGATGGTGGAACTGAACTCGGGACCTTCTTGCTGTGCAGCAACAGTGCTAACCACCGTGCTGCCGTGCTTAAACCAGACTTACAAACCAGATATTACAAAGTTCACATTACTACAAAATTAATATGCAATTCTGGGTATGTGATGTCATTGAACTTCATTTGGCAAAGGGTGTTATTTATGGTACTGTGCCAAAGTGTTGAGCCACCCTTCGTTCCTTAGTATTTTACTTCCAAGGAGCAAGATTTTCTTTAATTTTTCTTTTCTAAATGGTCTTGAGCAATAGTTCTCCAAGCTTTCTGAAGGTCAGTCAAAATTTATCTTTTACATTCGCTGTTTTTTCATAAATTTTCAGTCGAGTTATATCTGGGCATTTTCAGAGGAATTTTAGATTTTATTTCAACACTGAATCGTTCAAGCAAAAACAAAAAAGGCACTTGTCATGGGGGCTCAGAGGCCAGTATGTGGATGTGGATCCAAGTGTAGATTCAAACACATGAAACAGCAAAATGGTTCTCTCCCAAGCTTTGTTGCTGAACATACAGTAAATGTGAAAAATTGTTACAAGGAAGGAATGGGAGGATCTGAAGTAGCGGAAGTGTGGACAGATGGAAAGTGTGGTTAGGAAGGGAGTGAGGGAGGCAAAGACTGATAATCGTGGGAATGATTGGATTTGTGTCTTACTTGGCAGGTGGAGTGAGTATGGCTCTGGTAGGAGGGGAAATGGCTGGGTGAGCATCCTGGAAGGTGAATGAGTGGAGAGAGTTGACCTTGTTAATACAGAGATCCAGAAGAAACAAAGGCAGGTGGGCAGGCAGGTTGCGAGAAGTTTATCAGTGACAGAGAAGCAGAACAAAGAGTCTTGTTGTGGCAACCAGCATCCTGGAAATACGCTCTGAATATAACTTGACTGATGGTTCCAGGTGGGCAATGCCCCCTGCGTTCGTGTTCAGACGTGACAGTATTGCATATGATGCTGGACCGAAGGAATGGCAAGCTCCACCTCGGCTGGCAGCCTAGAGAAGCTTCAAAAGGGGAAACCAGTTGTAGATAAAATGAGGGAATCATGCACATACTCAACCCATGGAAGGTGTGATGACCATTTTGGCAGATTATGTGTTGTGATGCAGCAGAGAGTTTACTCTAGCTCCAGGTTGAGTCTCTCGGTCTGGCTGTGGTAGCCTGAGCTGAGATTGGATGGGCCAGAGAGCTAAGCAGAAAGTGTTTTTGATTTGTGAGGTGAATTGGGGTACTGTGTGAGAAAAAAAATCTCAACCAGGATGCCGTAAAGCATTTATCTGCTTTAATGTACAACCGGTTTTCCAGAAGACATTGAAATATGAAATGCGGAGGTGAAACAGTTAGCAACTAAACAATTAGCAAGACAGAAGACATTCCAGCTAGTGATGTTTTGCCCAGACCAGTCAATATGTGGATTAATAGAATTAGTGGGTTGTCAGAGGACATGAATGTGAAGAATGCGAGCATCTCCCGGTGGTTGCCAGACGTGACTAGGGAGACAGGCTTGGTTTGGAGGGTGATAAGGGCAAAAACTTGATTCTTCGGCGCCGTGGTACGTATGGGGGGGATTAAGCAGAATTAGGGGCAAATGCAACTGCTTGGCCAGCGTAGTGTCTGTTAGATTTGGCTTGGCCCCAGAATTGATGAGGGCATGAAGGGAATTAGTGGTCTGGTTCACACTGAGAGACACAGGTTTTAGAAAATGGTGTTTGAAATGAGTTAGAGATCCACCCGCCCATATCACCGATGTTGTAACTTTATTGTTTTGTTTGATAACAGCATTCTGATTATTTTGTAAGTGATTTAAGTGTTAGTCACATGTTTAGTGAGGGCTGTTAATTATAGATTTAATTTTCTGCTAAAAGGGAGCATTTAACAGTTATTTTCATTAGAAACTGCGTTTCCCAGAATCCTTTGTGGTAGACGAAAGTTACTCTGGGGTTTTTTTAGCTAGCAAAGAAAGTTTGGGAAGCCATTATATGTTGCTCTGATGTCGAGCAGTTTATTTGTTGTACATTCCCCCTTTTGAAGCCTTATATAAAGACTATCGTTTCTCCAATTGATGTCCGATCCATTTTTTTGGCTAAGTGGATTCGCCACAACACCCAGAATTACTGGTGAGTGGAGCCTTTTGGCCCAATTGGGCAGACCGCGAGGTAGTGATTGAGAGAACCACATAAAAACACTCGCGGGTGCGAAAATGTCGTTCCCGCTCCTCCAGAGAGAGCTGAGAGTGACCAGTTTGCATGGGTCCGACCTTGTTAATCAAGATATCCAGAAGAGGTGAAGGTAGGTGGACACGGAGGTGGTGAGGAGTTAATCCGTGACAAAGAGTCTTGGTGTGGTGGTGACCAGTGTCCTGGAAATGGGAGCTGCAGGTAACTCGAGTGAGAGTCCCATGAGTTGACTACAGGCACAAGGAAACTGAGGTATATGCAACACAGAAACAATGAGCATGAAGCAATGCTGCCTGCTACTGGCAGAGAAGAGATGTGGATGCTGTTCTTAAATACTGCACTATACTGTTGACTGTCCTGAATCTCCATCAGGTGAGCTGAGCAGGTGGACTGACAAGTGGTCCGCCCAGAGGTGAATACACAGGGAAGTAGTAGAAAAACACAGACAGCTCACCCAGACCATGACAGCGCCTAACTTAAGGGATCAAACCCGTAACTGAAAGGATGAACCAGCAACTTAAGAATGAATGACAATTTAGCAACAAACCTATCTTAAATTCTAACTTTAGCCAGTTTATGAGCCTGTTGTAATCATTGTCATCATCATCATCATCATCAAGTGCTGCTCCCACCAATGGTAACACAATTTGGCAGACAGAAAATAGAACTTTTTGCACTATTTGCACCTTTTTACAAGGTGACTTCTAAAGAGCTATTACCTCAAACATTGGCATATCTCAGCATTTTGTGCAAGGTGTCTTTAAAAACAGAAGAAAATACATTATTCATTTTTTTCTTTTCTTTTTTCTTCTTTTTTTTCTTTTTCTGCTCATTCTGTTGGTTTTTGCCCTTCTCCCCCGTCCCTCTTCTCAGCTGTTTCTCTTTCCTTCTTTCTTTCTCCCCTTCTTTCCCCCAGTCAAGTCTGTCCCATATTCAGTAAGTGAAAATAAAATAAACAATAAAAGGTGAATCAAATGGACCAT